TAGAAAAAATAAGGATGCATAATTAGTGACTCAAAAGTTATAATTATAGCACAACCATCTGCTGATCTATTAATCTAAAATCTGCCCCTACAAAGTGACATTTGTAGCAATTACACTGCAGCATTTTGAAGTTAACAGTGTATTTCTTAGGTAACTGAGAACAGTGAAAAGCAGGAAGATGTGATTTAATTTTTCTGTTAAAAAAAACCCTCATTTTTTTAATTACTTGATTTTGGTTTTTTGTTGCTGCTTATAACTGTGCTGAGAGAACATCATCACTCTTCTTTTTGCTCCAATGATTTACATCAACTTTAAGTTAAAAAAGATAATACTGTTGATTATTCAGGCAATCTCTTTGCATGGCCCCTGTAAACTAACTGACAAAGTATTTTACTTCTGTGAATTTATGAAGAAATTGGATAACAGTTTATACAGACAGAATTAAATACACAACAGAGCTTGGTCCAGAGATGGATACTGTCTTACCATTATCCTTACACCTTTCAAATTTTAACATGCAGTCATACTAAACAAAGCACAGTACTTTAATGCAGCCTTTTGGGTTTGTGGCAAGACAGTTTTGTTGATAACCACATGAGCTGTCTAATAGCCAGCTAACTCCTTCCTCCCTCCTCTGTACCCAGTCCTCTGTGACAGGTACAGGATGTAAAGACAGCTAACAGCTGAATTCCTGCCCCAAGCCGGTGAAAACTTCTTTCTTCCACAGTATCCAAGTACCGCCTCCAACGCTAGACCTCGTGTATTCTCAAACCACCTTTAGCTATACCCACACCCCCACTTCCATCTTCCTCCCAACAGTCCCAGAATCCACCCCTAGCCCTCGATTTTTTGTTCCTGTCCCTCCACACAGACAGACACAAAGGTCTCCATCACTGCATCCTCATTGTGAGTAAGTAGCTCAGGTGCACAGAAACACGCTTGGATGCTGTTTGAGGACACCCTCCTCCTTTTCTCTACCTCATTAAGAGACAAACACTACCAGACACACTGAAGTCACAGGCAAGAATGAATTTCTGTTTTCATGCTCATTTTTTCTTCTACCCCTTCCTCCTCTTCATGTGTTTTGGAAAAAAGCAGGGTATGTCTTTTTTATTATTGAAACAATTGTTACTTTTCCTTCTTAAATCAACAACTGAATGACTTTATTACAAGTGTACAAACAGAAAGCACTGCTATGCATATTTATGGCAGGAACAAACAAACAAAACTCCCAAAGTTTATTTTGCTAGTACTTGTAAATGCATACAGAGAGAAGCAGAAGCTACACATGAAGACATTTAAATAATTATTCCTGCTAACTGTAGGACTGAAAATGGAACATGCCAACACAACAAACTTGTAAATCACATAATAAAGAAGGTTCTACCACAGAGTCAGAAATGAAGCTTAAATAAAAACATAGCAACAAAGACTCAAAATCGGCATTTGAACAATGAATGTTACACCACAACAGCACAACTATTATTAACACAGCACAGCACTGATCCTTAGATCAACAGCAAGTTGGAATACAGGAATACAGTCAGATAGCATAGAGGAAACATAATTGCCTAAAATCACATGTCTAAACCCTTTTGTCTGAAGTCTTTAGTAATCATAGAGCGTATTCTGAAGGACTGCACTGCAGTAATATAATTGAAACATTACTCCCTCCCACCATCAATCATCAGAGAAAGCATTCATGTGCTAGCCATCCCTTGATTTTTTTTCTTTCTGTGGTTCCCAGATTTTCCACACAAATTCATAAGCTGGGAGGGAAGTCCACACCCTGAAATATCTTCGACTGTCATGTTCCTAGCTATTTTATAAAGGAGACTTTATGACCATGACCTTATGCAAATATGTAGTTGTGATAAAAAAGATACCCCTGGGGCTTCTGTTTAACAGTTTTATACCTGTTTGGTTTTATACCTCGTTATGTTGCAAAATAATAATACTGCAGTTTCAGCCATCACTCCCTCACACCGAAGAGAAACTGAACTGAAACTCAAATCCAGTTGAGTTCGGATCCGAGTCCAGATAAAGGAAATTTACCTCCCCTAAACAAACCAACACAACAAAAAACTCTACTTAAAACAAAAATGCTATGGATTGCTCTTCTGCCACGAGCAAATCTCATCTGAAACAAGTCCTTCATGTCACACTAAGACACCTTCGGCAGGTAAACTGTTCTACTGTGACTCTTAAATATCCTCTGCTTAACCACAGCAAAATACATCATCACAGGTTTCTGCTTCCCAGGCAAAACAAGAAACATTAATCTCAAAAGATTCTGATTTTTTCCTCTCTCCTTTTCTCCTTCTAGCATTTGGGGAAGTGTGCCAACCACTAACCTGGAGCCTTCCTGTTAAAAGCAGGCCCCCGTGCAGAGAGAAACCAGGGCCCTGCAAGTCACAAGGAAGCCCAGGTTTGTATCTCTGCCCCCCACAACCAGCAGTATTTTGCTCGGAGAGTTTTCAAACAGGAGATGCAGAAACACAGCTCAGAGCACGCATCGAAACGCAGGATTCACATCCCAGAGGAAGAAGGTGTGCACAGCACATTCCTGAGCTGTGGGAGACGTGACTTCCAACAAGGACTAACAGGGTGCAGCTCAGAAATCTCACGTCCTATTTGTGCACCGTACCTCCTAAACCAGCGTGTAAAAGGTGGCTACTCCACACTGTCTCCGCACAGGCCAAACAAATGCAGCCCTTCCCCCCACAGAAAACATGCTTGGCTACTTTTGTTTTTCTTTCTCATCTTCCTTGAAAGTCAAAATGCTGCAGTAACCTTATCCAAGTGCTCATTTGAAATGAGGGCTCAGGATCATCCAGTCCCAACCACCCTTGCCGTGGGCAGGGACACCTCCCACTGGACCAGGTTGCCCAAGGCCTTGTCCAACCTGGCCTCGAACACTGCCAGCACTGGGGCATCCACAGCCTCCCTGGGCAACCTGGTCCAGTGTCACTGCCCGCACAGTAAAGAATTTCTTGTTAATATCTAACCTAAATGCCCCCCCGCTTTCAGTTTGTAGCCATTACTCCTTGTCCTATGGTCCATCAACAAATGATTAAACTAACACACAAAAGGAGAATTTACCTTCCTAATTTCATCCAGCACGGTTTCAAATGATTTCTTATCCATCTTGATTAGTGCATTCAATGCCGACACTTAAACGTGGAGAAAATAATACAAGTGGTTTCTTTTTAAAAAAAAAGAAAATAAAAAAGAAGACCAGAAAAAAAACAAAACAAAAAACCCGCAGCACCAAAAAAACCCTAAGTGTCTCTGAGCATACAGGAAAAAACGATTTGGAAAAGAAAAAAAAAATAAAAATGCCGGGCACGGAAGGCGGCCAGGGCTGTCCTCGGCCCCAGGGATGGAGCGCTGCCGCCTCTGCAGCGGCGGACACGGAGACAAAGGCGCCCTCCGGGAGGCGCCCGATGCGCCCGCTCCCCGCGCGTCCCGCGGGAAGGGAAGGGAAGGGAAGGGAAGGGAAGGGAAGGGAAGGGAAGCGAA